CACCTGAGCCCAGCAGGTCAAGGCTGTGGTGGCCGTTGAGTGTGCCACTGCACTCCAGTCTGGGTGACAGAGTAAAACTCTGACTCAAAAAAAAAAGCAAACAAGGGGGCCTTGAGGATCACCTTGTGTAAAACCTGCATTTCAGAGGATTCTGACTTTCTGAGGGATGTCAGTTCATGGTCTGAGTCACCCCAATTTTACTATCTCCTGGGTACCATGTTTACTTCTGAAGAATTAACCTAAGAAGTCACATTAATAACAACAAATCCAACTCACATGTACTGGCCACACATCGTGTTACATTTGTCCCTCACAACAATTCTGTAAACTGAACACTGTAATTATCATCCCTGTTTTACGGATGAGAAGACTGAGATGCAGACAGATAAGTAGGTACCCAAGACCACAGAGCTGGTCACGGCAGGACTGAGCCAGGAACCCAGGAAGCCTGGTGAGGGAGCCTGAGCTCTTGACTGCCAAGCCCTCAGCTCTCTGTCATGCTGACTATAGACTTTGGGCACAGAGGGACAGTGGCTTGTCCACAGAGCCAGAGGCTGGGGACTGTTATGGTTCCTGGGATTCCCATCCCGGGACTCCTTCCCCAGTGCTTCCTGAGGGGATGAACAAGCTGTCTGTATAGCTTTCTACTTTTTTTTTTTTTTGAGTTGGAGTCTCACTCCTTCACCCAGGCTAGAGTGCAGTGGTATGCTCACGGCTACCCCAGCATTGACCTTCTGGGCTCCAGCGATCTTTCTGCCTCAGCCTTCTGAGTAGCCGGGAACTACAGACACGTGCTACCATGCCCGGCTATTTTAAAAATTTTATTGTAGAGACGAGGTCTCACCAAGTTGCCCAGGCTGGTCTCGAACTGGCAGCCTTAGGCAATCCACTCACCTCGGCCTCCCAAAGTGCTGGAATTACAGACTGAGCCACCAAGCCAGGCCTACTTATTTTTTTAAGTTTTTTTTTTCACACAAATACAAGTTTATTTCACACAAAATAATCCCCTCCAGTTTTACTGAGGTGGCTAAAGCTTTCTACTTTAAAGATAAGCTGGCCATCCTGTAAAAGTTGTCTCAGAGGCAAGCAGGCCTGGGGGGGTGCTTCAACCAGGACCACCACTGGCTCTTTAGGCTTCAGGGCTGCAGACAGGCAGCCAGAGAGGGAATGGAGAGAGAAAGCTAAGGTGAGCCTTGCTTGCCAATGAAGGAGGGATTCTGGAGTGGAAGAGGATGGCTTTAGCATGTACTAATCCATGGAAGGTTTTCCAGAGTCTTTAGTACCCTCAGTGGACTAAGTTTCCTGGTCACATTGTGTAGGAGCTGGTGCCTACCAGGTCTGAAGGAAAGGAAGGGGCTATGGACCCATCTGCTGAGAGATGTAAGTAGGGCTTGGATATTCAGAGTGAGAAAGAGTGAAAGACCTAACCAGAGAGACAGGAATTGCTCTGGCCTCTAGGAAGGGTTGATGCTGAGGGAAGGGACATTTATCTAGCTTTTTTTTTTTTTTTTAGTCTGAATCTCACGCTGTCATCCAGACTGGAGTGTAGTGACACTCACAGCTACCACAGCCTCGACCTGCTGGGCTTAGGTGATCCTTCTGCTTCAGCCTTCCAAGTAGCTGGAACCACGACATGTGCAAACATGCCCGACTAATTTATTGATTTATTGTAGAGATGGAGGGGTCTCACCAAGTTGCCCAGGCTGGTCTCGAACCTCTGAACTCAGGCAATCCTCTTGCCTCAGTCTCCCAAAGTGCTGGGATAACAGACTTGAGCCATTTGCACCCGGCCTAGAATTTGCTTTTAAATTTATTCTTATTTTTTATTTTTTAAGTCAGGGTCTCACTCTGTGGCCTAGACTGGAATGCATTGGCATCATCAATGATCATGGCTCACTGCAGCCTTGACTTCCTTGGCTCAGGCAATCCTTCTGCCTCAGCATCCCAAGTAGCTGGGACTATAGGCCTGTGTCATCACTTTCAGCTAATTTTTTTGATTTTTTTGTACAGACGAGATCTTGCCAAGTTACCCAGACTGGTCTTAAACTTCTGGGCTCAAGCAAACCTCCCAACCCAGTCTCACAAAGTGCTGGAATTACAGGTGTGAGCCATCATGCCTAGCCTCTCCTAGAATCTTCAGATCACCCTGGTTTTTTTTTTTTCTTTTTTTTCTAATCAAGCAAAGCAGTGGGAGTGGAGAAGGAACAAAGAAATCTGTAACTGGTTGTGATCAATTAGTTGTAAACACCACTGCACTCAGATCAGCCTGACCACCCTGTTAATGGGGTGAGACATAGCCAGGTGCTGAGCCCAGCCGGTTGAGGCTGCAGTGCCATGAGTGTGCCATTGCACTCCAGCCTGGAAGACAGTATGACTCTGACTCAAAAAAAAGGGGGGGAGGTGAGACACTATGAAAAAGGTCAACTGGTGAGAGCCTCTCCCCTTCCCTCCATAGGGAAGGGCAGCCATGAGTTCTAAGGGTATGAGTCATTCCTACCTTATGTGATAGATACTGACCAGCATGTACCCAGCCCCGGGCAGGACTTACTCCTGGAGCCTGGGAAACCTGGAATTTGTGCCATGACCCAAAGAGGGAAAGCGAGGCCCTGAGTCTTGTATCAGTCGTGTGGGTTCTGGCTGATTTCATGCAAGAGGAGTGTCTAGAATGTGTCTGGAGTATCTGGCTGAAGTAGAATGTTCCCTTGAGGCAATTGGGAAGGGGCTCAGAGCATGTTGGATCTGACCTAGAGGAAGGCAGGACTGCACAGGGCTCACGCCCTGTTCTAAGGACTAACACTGACATCTGCTTCTCTCCCAGTTTGACTTCTTGGGGATCCTGAAGCCAGTAAGAAAGGTGAAGGAGCCAGGCAACGTCTGAGAGGCCTGATGTCCCTGGATGGTCCTTTCTCCAACTACCATAAAAAGCCTGATGTGCAAGCTCTGCTTAACCAAGAGGCCACTGGGGCAACACCTGGACTGTGAAACCAGGTTGCACAGAAGCCCACTTCTCTTTCCTTTCTCAAGGCCAAGTGCACAACTAGCAGCCTTCATCCAGGCTTCCACCTTCCAGGCCCCCAAGTGTCCTATAGGCCAAATGAGGCCAAGTAGTACTTCAGGCCTCATGGCCACATGGCCAGTCCACAGAGGATCTGGGGCCAAAATTTGCCTCATGGACTCTGGACCTCTCTGTCACTTTTTTCGTGTGTGTGGAGATGAGTTCTTGCTATGTTGCCCAGGCTAGTCTTGAACTCCCAGGCTCAAGCAATCCTCCCATCTTGACCTCCCAAAGTGCTAGGGTTACAGGTGTGAGTCACCATACCTGGCCCCTGCTGACACTTTGGTGTATCATCTCTCCCTGTGTTCTTTCCCTCTCCCAGCACCAACCACCCCAGCTTGATGTCTCGGCCAGAGCACTGGACAGGGAGACATTTAAGGTCAAATTGGGGGAGACTGCTTGGAAGCTGTGGGGGCAAAGAGGAGGTTTTTGTGTCTGGTTGCCGTGTCTGGTGTGAAGATGAGGTGAAAGGACAGGCCAATGCAGGATTAGGTGTAGAGTTGGGAGAGCAAGCAGGAGGCTCAGGTGAGCCAAAGCAATAAGGGTGTGTGGCAGCTTGACACCTGAGGTGTGTATGGCTGTGGTGAGAGCAATGGGAGCAACAAGGCTGAAGTCCCAGATGCCAGGCCAGGGGTCGTGTGCCTGAAGGCAGAGGGGTGAAGTGGCCAGAGCAGTGGTTTGAAGGAGCTCCTGGATGGTGGTGCAGAGGGTAAACTGCGGCCTGGGGAGAGCCTGGAACCTAGAGGAGGCGAAGTCTGAAGGTTGGGGTAGCCTCATGGGAGAGAAGATGGTGACAGGAAACAGGCAGGGGCAGGGGGAGGCCAGAGGGAGTGTACCTAGGAGGAAGAAGGAGAGGTGGGTGCTCCCCAGGCTTTCAGCTCAGGCCTCATGCAGCCAGCTGTCATCGGAAGAGCAGACAACTCATTGGAGTCTTAAACTCAGAGATACAGACTAGGTAGTGTCTGTCCATTGTAACTCGTGTCCTGGAAGGGGTGTCCCTGGGGAGACCTGGGGCAAGGGAAGAGCAGCAGTTCAAGCGGCAAGTCCACAAGCCCTCGATATTAAGAGGATGGCCCTTGGGCAGGGGGAGATGAGAAGGAGCCGCCAGGGAGGTAGGAGGGAAAGCAGAAGAATGGCCCTGGGAAGATTGGGGCAGCAGGAGGGAAGGGACACCAGTGCCTATGCAGACGAAGACCAGGCTTGAGGGTGACCAGTGAGGGCTGGCCAGTCTGCAGTGTCCTGAGCGTGAAGGAGAGTGAAGAATTGGGATTAACAAGTGGAGATGTTTCCTCAGACTCCACTGGGGAGAAGATATGAACAGTCGTGTCTGGAGGGGTCTGGGGACGTTTTTAGACTGAGAGACAGTGGAGAATTCAGGAGAGAGGGATTAATGGTGCAGAGACCCTGAACAGGCTGAGAGCTGACTCCAGAGAACAGGTGGTAGGCCTAGAACTCAACAGGCCACTTCGCCCTTGGGTAGGTGACTGTAGGTGGGAGGTGGCTACTGGTATTCTTTCATCAAATGTTAATCAATGGCTACTGGGTGCCAGGCAGCGCCGAGAGCTGGAGATTTAGCAGGGAGCACTGAATCCATTACCTTGATTCCTGAGGAGTAGAAGGATGCAGGATGGGCACCTGGCTCTTTTGCTCTCCTGAGAGGCTCAAACCTCTTGAGCAACCCAGGCAATGACAGTCCCCCGTGGGGTCCAGGAGATTGTCAGGGAGATGGAGAAACCATTTCCTCATCTTGCCCACAAGGCAGACCTCACTCACTGCCCAGCAAGTCCTGTGAAGCAACAGCAGGGGCTGAGGCAAGCCCCAGCCCACACCCTGGCAGGCAGCCAGGGATGGGGTGGGTCCGGAAGGTTCCTGCTTGGGCCTTTGCATCAGACATGGACTGGGCATAAAGGAGGCTCCTGTGGGCTGAGGGGAGGCAGCCTTGGAGACCATGGAGACCCAGAGGGATGGCTCCTTCTTGGGGCGGTGGTCACTGGTGCTGCTGCTGCTGGGCCTGCTGATGCCTCTGGCCACCACAGCCCAGACCCTCAGCTACCAGGAGGCTGTGCTTCGTGCTGTGGATGGCTTCAACGAGCAGTCCTCAGAGCCCAACCTTTACCGTCTCCTGCACCAGGACCTGCAGCCCACTGAGGTGAGGTGTGAGGAGGAGAGGCTCTGCTCCAGCTAGCCTCTGTCACACTGTCACACTCTTTGTTCCTGCTGCACCTCCTGCCAGGAACCACCTCCTCAGGAGTTGTATCTCCTCCTAGCACAAGAGCTTCCTGCCTTAGAATCCCTGCTGTGGCTGAGGGGCCCCCATCGTCACCCCATGCAGGCTGTAGGGACTTCTGGGAGCTCCAGGGACCAGGGTGGGGTCACTGGCTCTGAAGAGTGACTTCTCCTGCTCTGAGTCTCTTCTGTACCTGTTTGCCTGGACAGGGAAGGGCTCTGCCCAGGATTGAGGGTTCAGTAGACATGACTTGTCTTCCAGGAAGTCCCTTGATTTCCCTTATACCCACCCCAGAGTGGGAGGTGCTCCCTGTTAGAGCTTGTCTGAGGTCTGCTTCTACTCACTGTAAGCTTGAGAGGGGCAGGAATGGGCTCGGTTCTCCTGTCCTCTGTGCCTCAGCACCAAGCCCAGTACTTGGTACACAGTAGGTGTCGTTGAAAGCCTGTTCTTTTTGGGTATCAGGGAGTCAAATGAGAGAAGGCAAGAATGGGCCTGAGCATGGACTCTCCATTTTCTCTCCTGACCAGGACGAGGACCCAGACACTCCAAAGGATGTCAGTTTCACGGTGAAGGAGACAGTGTGTCCCAGGACATCGCAGCAGCCACTGGAGCAGTGTGACTTCAAGGAGAATGGGGTGAGCTAGATGCTGGGGGTGCAGGTGGGTGTCTTCTGAGGGCTGAACAGAGGACCCTTGGGGATCATTTCCAGCCACTGAGGTGGGACTGAGAGGTTATGGCAAACTGGTTCTAGCCTGACTGTGAGCTTTTTCTTTTAGTTGGTGAAGCAGTGTGTGGGAACAGTCACCCTGGACCAGGCCAGGGGCTCCTTTGACCTCAACTGTGATGAGGTGAGTGGACTGTTCTGGGATGCTGGGACTGATAGGGAGGTAGGGCAAGGACCATACTATGGGCCAATCAACTGCTGCCCCACCCAGGGCAGAGAAAGCCACCCCTACATTGGGCCCTTCCCTCAACTTGAACTCCATCTCTGGGATGGCTCTGGAATCCCTTAGAGCAGTGGTTCTCAAAGTGTAGTCCATCCTGGGAACTTGTTAGAAATGCGAATTCTCAGGCCCCATTCAGACCTACTGAATCAGACAGACTCTGGAGTAGGGGCCCTGAAATTTGTTTTTTAACAAGCTCTCCAGGAAATTCTGACTCCTGTAAAGTTTGGGAGCTACTGACAGAGTAATGAACTCTCAGTCTTGAGTTCCCATCTCAGCATTGCTGGGATGAGCTGTGTGACCTTGGGGAGTCCCTAGCCAATCCTAGGCATCAGTTTTCCCATCTTTTTACTAGGTATAGGGATTCAACCACATGCTTCAAAGGTCACAGCCAGATGGTGAACTGAGGCCCCAAAGCTCCTAGGGTGACCTAAGAAGTGGGTGTCTGGGTGGGGAGGGGCCTTGGATCCCAGGCACAACCTCAGCAAGAAACCTGTTTCTTCCTCTTGGTTTATGTCCAGAACACCAGGAGACCTGCCAGGCTGGGCAGGTTCTTTCGGAATATTGGTAGGAGGATTCGTGACAAGTTTAGGAACATTCGCAGGAATCTTGGGAATTTTCTTCAGAATCTTGTACCCAGGACAGAGTCCTAGGTTCTGCCCTACCCTGGCTCAGACTTCTGAACTCTGAAAAATAAATTCTGTGAAAGCAGCTTCCTCAGGCTTCAGTCTCACTTGTCTTGCCTCTCTCTCTTCCCACAACCGAGTCCTTAACTCTGGGAGGGCCCGTGTGTGTGTGTGTGTGTGTGTGTGTGTGTGTGTGTGTGTGTGTGTGTGTGTGTGACACACAGAGATGGGTGGGGGCAGCTGTGCCATCTGGAAGGGCATGGGGTGAGGCAGCAGGGCCAAGAGGCTCTGGACAGCGTTTCCATTCTCAGGGTCCTTCCCCAGGCTCTTTGCACACGCACTGCCCTTCTCAATCGAACCTCCATCAGGGCCTTAAAGAGCTGTACTTCGTGTGAAGCAGACGGGGGAAGCTGTGGAGTTGTTCCTGTTTGTGAGGAGGTGACACTCGAGGGAGGGGCTGCGTGTATTAACATTCACAGAGGCACAGTCTGGTCTCACTGGTGGCTGGCTGACGGGTTGGCCTGCCAGTACAATTCCCACAAAGTTCCAATTCCTCCAGAAAATCTTAACACCTGGCTTTTTCTCTGGCACTGGGACACATCACTGTTTCTTCAGATGGGTAGCAGATTGTAGTTGTGGGCTTGTGTTTAGGGGTCATTAAAAGCAAGAATCGGAGGCTAGGTTCAGTGGCTCAGTCTGTAATCCCAGCACTTTGGGAGGTTGAGGCGAGGGGATTGCCTGAGTCCGCAGGTTCAAGACTAGCCCGGGCAATTTGGCAAGACTTCGTCTCTACGATAAATTAAAAAAAAAATTAGCCAGGTGTGGTAGCGCACACCTGTGGTTCTGGCTACTTGGAGGGCTGAGGCAGAAGGATCACCTGAGCCCAGCAGGGCAACACTGGGGTGGCTATGAGTGTGCCATGGTACTCCAGCTTGAGCAACAGAATGAGACTCCAACTCAAAAAAAAAAAAAAAAAAAAAAAAAAAAAATTGGGC